CCCGGGGGAACTGGGTCCCGCGTGGGCCAGGCGAGGGCTCCCCTGTTCCGAGTCCAGACGTGAACGCGGGTCCAGAGACACCCGGTCCTGTCTCCTCCGAACGCGTGACGTGAAGGGCACAGGCTGTTTCTGGAAGGAATTGTGATGCTCTGCGACTATAGAAAGTGTCGGGGGACGTGCAGGAGGTTTAGGAGCCCCCACACTTGGGACACCTGCGGAGGCCAGCTAACTTTTAAAAGGAGATCGTTACTTATATGCTGACTATACGTGCATATAACAAAGGTAACGCCTCCCTTGGTGAATTGGTGTATTCACAAGTGAACAGGCAGAAGCTCGCAAAAGAATTTGTTGTGCAGTTTTCCTCCTGTGGCCAGGAGCCAGCTCAGATTAATAGGCAAAGGGGAGTTCTGAGAGTTAAAAAAAAAAAACTAAAATTTTGAAATTTTTTTACTGTAGAAAATCTCAAAGAAAAGTACAATGAAGTTACCGAATTTCAGAAAATATCAACATTTTAAAAATCTTGCTTCATCTGTCCCCACCACCACTACCCAAACATCTTTTTCTTTGCTGGGTCATGTCAATCAATCACTTTCAGTATTCATCTTAAACTGATAAGGACTTTAAAAAAAAACAAAAACTCAAACATGATATTCAGATTAATTTTTTTGTTTTGTTTTGTTTTAAATATATTTTATTGATTTTAGAGAGGAAAGGAGCAGGGGAGAGAGAAACATCAATGATGAGAGAGAATCATTGATTGGCCCCCAACCCAGGCATGTGCTCTTGGCCGGAATCAAACCGGGATCCCTCAGTCCACAGGCCAACGCTCTACCCATTGAGCCAAACCAGCTAGGGTCAGTTTAATTGTTTTGAAGTATTCAAGATTATTGTACTTAAATAATGGCCTGCTTTTAGGGAAAGGAAAGCTGGGTATCCCCCCCCCCCAAAAAAAAAAAAAAACTTTTCCCACCAAAAAAAAAAAAGCAAATAACAGGAAAAAAATCTGATTGCTTGGCTCTGTGGACTTCCTCATCTGCAAAATTTAGAAATCCTAGAAATTTTTTTTTTCCTTAAATATCCCTTTCAAGAAGGAAAATGGGTCTCCCTAACAGATTATCACTATAGGGATTTAGGGATTCTGCCCATACTTACTCTTGCTTTCATTTTTTTTTTTTTAAATAAATCTTTGTGACTTCAGAAAGGAAGGGAGAGGGAGAGAAAGAAACATCAGTGATGACAGAGATTGGCTGCCTCCTGCATGATGGGGGATCCAGACCAGGACCCAGGCATATGCTCTGACCAGGAGGAATAGAACCATGACCTCCTGGTTCATAGGTTGACACTCAACCACTGAGCCACACCAGCAGGGCAAGTGGGGAGATTTGAGAGAGGTTTTGTTGTTGTTGTTGTTGTTTTTAATTTACTTTTAGAGAGAAAGTAAGAGATTGAACCTGCAACGCCGGTATGTGCCCTGACAGGAATTGAACCCACCACCTTTTGGTGTATGGGAAGACACTAAACCAACTGAGCCACACCAGCAATGGGGAGAGATTTTTTTTTTTTTTAAATGAGCTAGAATCAACAGGATTTGAAGCCAGGTTAGAGAGGGGGGTGGTGTTTTCTGTTATTGTTACTTGGAGTTGGGAAGAGAGGATGGGGGTGACTTTTCATCCCTGGTTATATATATATATGCAGAGTAGCATTGATAGGTGTCAGCCTACTCCTCTGACAAGAATTTCTGTGGTTGAGCTAGTCAAAATTGGTGAAAAGAAACACCAATTTGAGGGAGGATAAGGAGAAAAACAATCATCTCCCTTCACTAGGAAAGAATGTTCAAATGAAGCCCTCTTAGATCTAAAGAGCACATTATTGTGACCTGGGAGAGGAGCTGGATGGGGATGTTTGTTCTGATATCTAATAAATAAATTAAGGAACTCACTTTATTGTCTGTGCCCCCAATTCTTAGAGGTGAACATACTTTTCTTCTGATATGCAATGAGGCTAAGTTCATCTCAAAGGGTCCCATTCCACAGCCTTCTTTGCATTTGAAAGAAACCAAAAAAAATCATGAACATGGATGTCAATACGCCTAGGGTGGCAAAAGGAAAAGGAATTGAAGTCAAGTACCATAAAGAAATGCTGCCCATTTGTGTAACCTGTGATTAAGGTGCTATTCATCATCCAAGATTAAAGGAAGAAGTTTATTATGTTGAGTAGAGAGATACAAGAGAATACCAGTTACTTCCAAGGGAACACAAAGAGGCACATTTTATCACCACTATCACTACTTCATTCTTTTATCTGACAGCAAAAACTGATCCACTAGAGCCACACATTTGCAATGTTTCTTAGGTTAGCTTTATCAGTTGGCCTATATTCACTATTAACTAGTCCATGCTAGCCAATTGTTATGTCTCTCCCATAGGTTGCATTTGGAAAATCCTTCCATGAAGGAATAAAATATACCTGTTTACAATCAATGTGTGACAGACCAACAAACCTTAATACTGCAGCATCCTCACTTGTTAAAATTAAAATAGGTCTCTGGGAAAGAGAGTAGCTGATTCGTTATTAAAATGAAATAGATCTCTAAATACATAGACTGGAATCTTGCAGATTACAATCAGAAGTCACACCTAAGTATTAAAACTGAAAGTTGTGTTTTAAATTAATGTATAATTGAGAATTTTATATTAGTTTCAGGTGACTCAACATTTATATACAATACCTACCATGATAAAATCTAGTAATTGTCACCATACAAAGTTAAAAAGTGGACAGCTTTGCCCTAGCCCGTTTGGTTCAGTGGCTGGAGCCTCAGCCTGCGGACTGAAAGGTCCCAGGTTCCATTCAGGTTAAGGGCACATGCCCTAGTTGTGGGCTCGATCCCCACTGGGGGTGTGTGCAGGAGGCAGCCAATCAATGATTCTCTCTCATCATTGATGTTTCTATCCCTCTCTCTCCTTTCCTCTCTGAAATCAAATATATATATATATATATGTTTATATATATGTGCATATATATAAAAGACTACAGTTTAAAACAAAAGGGTGGACAGCTTTAATTTTTACTGTCAAGAAATAGTAATTTAAATAAAAATAAAAGGATTATTTTAAATTAATGCCTATTTTTCCCCCATGACAAAAAAAAAAAAGGGACAAGACTGGAAATGTGAACTATATTCCTGAAGGAATTCTCAGAATACAATGTCAACACAATTATTATAAGGAACTGATTTATTCCAGATAGATGAGGCAGTCACAAAATTGAACTCTGTGGGTGTTGACTCCAGATTACTGTGTAAAGCTCACATTGAGACTATATAGAAAGTGGAATGGTGGACTATGGCATCCTCAGGCATATTTACAAAATAAGGTGGTAGTGCTTTTTACTCGTCGAATACTGAGCTCTCCTCCCATCAACTAGCTTTTCCTCTGAGGGCCAAAGCTAGGGTGCAGCCAGAGACCAAGGCACTGAGCATCACCTTACACACATAAGGTTCGAAAGACCAAGAAGTCTTTGTTAGTAAGCATCATTATTAACAATCATCTCTTTAAAATACATGAATATAGTTTTATTAAAAAGCCATGAAAGATTACATACACATATGCACATACATGTGCACAAACGCATAGAGTAAAGTTTGCCTCTACCCACTGTCCTCTAACCATCCATTTCTCAAAGATTGATAGTTACCAGTTTCTTGTGTATCCTTTAAGACGTAGTCTGTGTTT